CTAACTTCGACATAAACGCCTAGTGTAGACCAGGCCTTAGTGCCTTATGGACAAATCTTTCAAAACACTCGTATCACCACTGAGGGAGACGTCACTTTTAGCTTGACTGTTGCCCATTAAGTTTTGAGACTCAACATTAACTCCCGATGTCTTTGACTTTCCAGCGGAATACGAGGCTGCAAAAGGTATGGGCATTTTTTCTAGTTTTGATTATGCTTTAAATTGGAAAAGGAACACTCAGAGCTGTGTGTGCAAAGATGTGTTAGTGTAAAACATTAATGTGCTACTGAGACAGGAAACCTACACAACAAGGGGAAATCCAGATATTACCCAGACAAAATGGATGGAAAATTTTTGGTATTGAAATATGAATATTAACAGTTTTATTTTTCACAACATTAACCCTTGGAAATACCCTTAAAAAGCAAACAAGCAAACGTCACTTACTGACACGTAAGAGACTCTGTAACGAGAACAATGATTCTTTTATACCAATAGGGCCCAGCCCGGTGAGTTCCCCATGGATGTTCTCCTGCACCCCTAGGTCTCCTTGGAGCAGGATTGGGCCCTGTTGGCTTCCACACACAGCAGCTGTAGGATCAGGCAGATGGTCTGATCCCACTGAAGCTGGCAGGAGTTGCAGGTGCTCAGCACCCCTTGGGGTCACCCAGCATCACCCAGTGATGGAGATACTTATGAAGGAAGAGTTCTCTGAGCTGCAGGCCCAGGTTCTCTACTGGGCCAAGACCTGTTTGGGGTGGGGGCAGTGAGGGAGCTGGTTATGGCTCCCTGGTTCTCAGGCTGCCTCAGGGGTTGCTCTAATTTGCTCCAGCTGGTCGTGGTCCCTGAGAATTGGTGATGTGCCCTGCCCTAGCACACACACCCCAGCCCCGACACTCCCCCTATACCAGGATGGCGGAGGGGGGGGAAGCAGTTGACACAGGAGCCAGCTATGCTGCTTTACCCTGGCTGGGCTCTCCCTACGGCAGAGGAATTCTCTGATGTCCAGGGCCTGGTTCCAACCGGTCTGCACCATCCCTGCACACAATGACCGGAGCAGGGGAAAGAACTGGGCCCCTTATCACCAATGGCTCCATTCTACCCCCAGACTCACATGAGTGATCCCCACAGGTGCAGCCCCATTGATTTCTGGGGGCAGGGTTTGCAGGATCAGATGCAATAAAGGAGAAGCCCTAACTAGTGATTAGGAGCCTAATCCTGCTGTCCTTACTCAGGCAAAATTCCCACTGAAGCCAATGTAATGCGGGGTTAGAACTGGGCACTTCCTTGTTACTGAGAATCTCTCCTGCTGATTCATTTATGTTCTTTTTTCCCTTTTCTCTCCTCTCATTCCTATGGACCCTCTGGCAGAACTGGGTAAGCTGTTTCTGGTTGTGTGGTTTGTTTTTCACAGTATATGACTTGCTGAGTCTGCATTTCATTTGTGTAAATTCTCGGTTCTGATTATTTCAGGACTCACCAGAGCCCAAGGATACGCAGGTAACTAATGCTGATACTGCCGCAGTCACTCTCAGACCCATTCCTCTGGGATACTCAGTCGCTGCTCAGTCCTCTTACAGCTCTCACAATATCTAAGGGGTCGGGCAAAATGTCATTGTCTGCATGAAACTTTGAGGAGCTTGGTTATTCACCCCCCCACCCAGAATACCTGCTGGGGTCAGGGGTGGGCTGGTGCACACAGATAATTGTTTAACTGCTCTGTTGCTATTTTATAGCCTCTAGTTAATACATTGCCTGTTTCAGAGCTAACTTTGATTCCATTAGGAGTCTAGTTACAAGTTGCTGAGCTGAATTCACTTTGGGCCAATGGTGCACTAGCACTGGGGCTCCCCTACTATACTAATGGAATCAAAGTTAGCTCTGACATTCAACAGTGGAGAGAGGAGATAGTGCAATTGGTGTTTCAAACCCTCAAAGAGGGCCCATACCATCAAGTATAAATACCTGTCCCCATCCTCTCTCAATTCACTGGGTTTTGTAACCCATGCCCCTTGTCAAGCAAGTGCTACTTAGGTAATGGTGAAGGACTC